GGTCTCCCATGCAGGTGCAGGGCACAAGCACTTGGGCCATCCTCCACTGCCCTCCTGGGCCACAGCAGAGAGCTGGCCTGGAAGAGGGGCAACCGGGACAGAATCTGGTGCCCTGACTGGGACTAGAACCCAGAGTGCCAGTGGCACAGGTGGAGGATTAGCCTATTGAGCTGTGGCGCCGGCCAGTTTTTCATTTTTTTATTTGAAAGGCACTGAGAGAGACAGAGGTTTTTCATCACTGGTTCACTCTGCAAATACCTGCAACAGCCAGGGCTGGGCTGGGTGAAGCCAGGAGCCTGGAACTCAATCCAGATCTCCCATGGGAGTGACAGGCACTCAGTAACATGAGAAGCCTCCTAGTGAGCCTATTAGCAGGAAGCAGGCTCAGAAGCAGAGGAGCTGGAACTTGAACCCAAGTTCCCAAGCAGTGACTTAACCCCTACACCGAATGCCTGCGCCCTGTCTTTGTGTTTAATGAGATAAAGATCTAATGCAACGTTATACCCCAGCAGACACCACCCCTCTCCCCAGTGAATCATCATGGCTCTGTCCAGAATCAGTCGACCATAAATCTAAGGAGTCACTTGCGGAATCCCGGTTTTAGTTCATTGGTCCATGTATCTATTGTTAGGTCAGTATCACACTGTCTTGATTTCCGTAGCTTTAAAATCTGGTTGTGTTGGGGGCTGGTGCTGTGGTGTAGCAGGTAAAGCTGCCACCTGCAGTGCTGACATCCCAAATGGCTGCTGGTTCGAGTCCTGGCTGCTCTACTTCCCATCCAGCTCTTTGCCATGGCCTGGGAAAACAGTAGAAGATAGCCCAAGTCCTTGGGCCCCTGAACCCATGTAGAAGACCCAGAAGAAGCTCCTGGCTCCTGGCTTTGGTGCGGTGCAGCTCCGGCCATTGCAGCCAATTAGGGAGTGAACCAGGTGGATGGAAGACTTCTCTCTCTCTCTCTCTCCCTCTCTCTCTCTCTCTCTGCCTCTCCTTCTCTCTCTGTGTAACTGACTTACAAATAAATAATCTTAAAAAAAAATAGGCTGCTTAAATATTTCAAACTCTCTCAATTCTTTTTGCTATTCTTTGTGTCAGGTTTTCATGGTGTGTAGAATAGCTCTTAAAATAGATGCTCCCTCATAAATGAGCGTCATCACCTAGTTGCGCCAGACTCTTTTCTAGAACTAACTTTGCAAAGAACATCCTTAAGCCCATATCACATTTCCTGTTAGGTATGTAATTCCTTAACTGGATTCCTGGGGGGAGGACTGCAGGACCAAAGGCTATGAATGTGTGGATTCACCTGTCTTATAGAAAAGGAACAGCCTTGGCAGAGAGGTGGGTTCCAAACCAGGCAGGGGGGTGGGGCTAACATATGCTGAGCACGTACCAGATGTGAGGCGTGGTGCTGAATACTTTACACATGTTATTTCGCAGAGCCCTCATGGCTATTTGTTGTTTTTTTTTAAGATTTATTGTAGAGCCAGAAAAAGAGAGACAGAGAGAGAGAGAGAGAGAGAGAGAGAGAGGAAGGTCTTCCATCCGCTGGTTCACTCCCCAAATGGCCTCAATAGCCGGAGCTGAGCTGATCTGAAGCCAGGAGCCAGGAGCTTCTTCTGGGTCTCCCACACAGGTGCAGGGGCCCAAGGATTTGGTCCATCTTCCACTGCTATCCCAGGTGCAATAGCAGAGAGCTGGATTGGAAATGGAGCATCAGGGACTCGAACCTGTGCCCATATGAAATGCTGGTGCTGCAGGCAGCCGCTTTAACCCACTGCACCACAGCAACAGCCCCCCTCATGGCTACTTGCATGGTACATAGTACGATCTCCACTCGACAGAGGCGAAGTCTGGGTTAAGCAGGTTGGTTTACTTTGGCCAGCAGATAGATGGTAAGGCCAAGACTGCAGTCCAGGAAGTCTCCATGTCTTTTTTAATTTTTTTAAAGATTTATTTATTCAGGGCTAGTGTTGTCCCATAGCACATTAAGCCACTGCCTGCCCTGCCAATGTCCCATAAGGGCACCGGTTCATTTCCTAGCTGTTCTACTTCTGATCCAGCTCCCTGCTAAGGTGCCTAGGAAAGCAGTGGAAGATGGCCCAAGTGGTTGCGCTCCTGCGCCTATATGGAAAGCCCGGATAAAGCTCCAGGTTCCTGACTTTGGACCAGCCCATCCCTGGCCATTGCACTGGATGGAAGATCTCCCTCCCTTGCTCTCTGTGTCTTGTCTTCTCTTTCTGTAACTCTGCCTTGCAAATAAATGAAATAATAAGATTTACTTATTTACTTGAAAGGCAGAGCTACAGAGAAAGGGATACACACACACACACACACACACACACACACATCTCACACACAGAAGTCTCCCATCGGCTGGTTCACTCCCCAAATGGCTGCGAGAGCTGGAGCTGGGCCAGGCTAAAACCAGGAGCCTGGAACTTCATTCGGATCTCCCACATGGAGAGCAGGGGCCCAAGCACTTAGACCATCTTCTCACTGCTTTCCCAGGTCATTAGCAGGGAGCTGAATCAGAAGTGGAGCAGCCGGGACTTGAACCAGCACTCACGTGAGGTGCCGGTATCGCAGGTGGTGGCTTAACCTGCTGGGGGCCAGCCCCAGCCTCCTTGCCTTGCTACTGAAATATCTTTGCATGCCCGTGAGCCATTTCATTGATTCACTGGATGGAGCAACGAGCGTGGAGGAATTCGCCCATCTGTTCCCTCGGCCTTCACCATCTGGACACCTCTTCTCTGAGCTTCTTGGTCAGCACTTCCACGGTGTTTTCCAATAGCTGTGTGGGGACGTGGGGACTGAAGTGACCCAGTTCACAGTCAGGGGAAAAACTGTTAGGAGTTTAGCAGAGCTGTCAAGAAAATAAAGACCAGCCACCGGAGAAGGCCAGAAAAGTCCTGATCTTCAATGTGTAGTTGGTATCTCCCAGACTTTGGGGGTCTCCCATAGGTGGCTGTCGAGCTGAAGGAGGGCTGCAACCTCTGTCTTGCTTTATGTTGTGAACCTGCTCACGTACCTGGAGTCCAACCAGAACGCTCAGCGCTGGGCTGCTGCCCCCTCCTCCGACTTTCTCTCTCAACCCCTCCTCCGACTTTCTCTCTCAACACTGTTAGCCACACTCCCCCTACAGCCGGGAGCTTTAAACAGAGGAGCCGGCATCTCCTGCTCTCCTGGCAATGTGAACCCAGAGGCAGAGCCGGGGACAGGGTCCAGGTGTACAACATCACCGTCCTCCTCGGCCCAGGGGTGCAGCCACCCACAGAGCAGCAGGAGCTCTGCCCAGGAGCCTGCGGCTTAGGGTAACGGAGCTGCTCCCAGCTTGCAGGGGGTGAAGGCAGTTTTTGAGCTCCGCTGAGCAGGCCCCACGCAGGTGGCCCAGGCCAAGAGAGTTTAGGTGTCTGCTTTGTCCAGGCGGAAATCTGGGCTGCCTGGCCTGGGGCTCTGCCTGCTCTCAGTCAAAAGCTGGCATTCATGAGGACAGTGGGTCCAGTTTCATTCTACGGCTGGGCCCTGAAACAGCTACCAGGCTAAAAGTAGCCCTTCCTCCCCTGGGGAGCTGCTGACCGTGCACACAGCTAAAGGCCCACGCTTCTCCTCACAGCCACCTGCAGCCAGACTACCGCACGCTGCAGGTGGCTGCTTGCTTGCCGCAGCCCCACCGACCTTCCCTTCCCACCCCCCTACCTGCTGCTCTGCCAAGTGCGGTGCAAACCCTTGGGGGATCATCGGTGCCACACGAACACCCACTGCAGGAATGGCCGGGTGGCTTCCCCATCTGGGAGGCTGTCCTGGGTTTCCTTGGTGGCGGTCATCTCTCCTTGCCTGATGCCTTCTCGGTTTCTAGCACAGTTCCTGGGCTGCTGGGCCCTCCTTCTGCTCCATGCCTTGTGGCTGAATTCTGGAGTTGTTTTTGATTCTGAGTTTCTAAAGATTTATTTATTTTTTTGAAAGAGCTAGTTACAGAGAAGGAGAGGCAGAGGCAGAGAGAGAGAGAGAAGTCTTCCATCCGCTGGTTCACTCCCCAAATGGCTGCAATGGCCAGAGCTGGGCGGATCCAAAGCCAGGAGCCAGGAGCTTCTTTCAGGACCTTCATATGGGTGCAGCGGCTCAAGCACTTGAGCCATCTTCTACTGCTTTCCCAGGTGCATTAGCAGGGAGCTGGATCAGAAGTGGAGCAGCCAGGACTCTAACTAATGCCCAAATGGGACGCCAGTGCTACAGGCAGCGGCTTTACCCACTAAGCCATGGTGCTGGCCTCTTGAGTCTATTTCTATTATCCAGACTCTGGCTCAGTGAGCTGATTCTGATCTCCTGGTTCTCAACCACAAAATTCTTTTTTTTTTTTAAAGGGATTTATTTATTTATTTGAAAGGCAGAATGACAGAAAGTAAGAGGGAGAGGCAGAGAGAGAGAGAGAGAGAAAGAGAGGTCTTCCATCCACTGGTTCACTCTCCTAGCGTCTGGAGCTGGGCCATGCTGAAGCCAGGAGCCTGAACTCCACCTGGGTCTCCCAGGTGGGTGGTAGGGACTCAAGTACTTAGGCCATCTTCTGCTGCTTTTCCAGATCCGTTAGCAAGGAGCTGGACCAGAAGTGAAGCAGCTGGGACTTGAGCTGGCGCCCACATGGGATGTCAGCACCACAGGCAGCAGTTTAACCCACTGTGCCACAATGCTGGCGGCCACACCATTCGTTTTTGCTTTTCTCAACACATCTATTAGCAGTCTTTTACAGCCAATACTTCTTGGCATACACTTTGGTTAACACTGCTCTACTTGTAACCACATTCAGAAGGTCGGACTTGGATTCTGATTTCTTTCAACTCAGATCTGATTTGAGCCAGAGGATTCCAGGGGGAACCTAGCCTGTGACCATCCCAGCAGTGAAACCTCAGCAGGAAAATCTGCTTCCTCTCCTGTAATACACACATACGCACGCACACACACACACACACACACACAAGTACACAAAAACTTCGTGAAGAAATGGAATTGAAAAATAAGTTTATTTTGGTGCAGAAATTGAAATTCACGCAGAGTTTTTTTCGTACTATGCATTTTCACACACACCCACACTTTAGTTGTAACCTACTTTTGCTACAAAGTGAGAGTGTGGGGGAAGCAGGAATGCGGCTGGGTGAGGGCCATCGAAGCCTCTGGCCTTCGGGAAAACATTGTTCTGAGCACAAGGAGCAGGGCCCAGGTTCAGCTGATGCCCTTGATCTCTGCCGGTCAGGAGGTCAGGGCTGAGCTGGTGGCCCCTGCACCGCACAGAAGCCTTGGGTGCTGTTGACCCGTCTTCCTTCTGAAGGTCTCGCTGGCCTCCATTCCCTCCCGCCCTCTGCGTTCCTTTGTCTCCTCTCCTGCCTCCTCTTTTTCTACCACTGCAGATAAAGGTGGGTCTTCCCCAGAGTTCCCTTCATCTTCGTGGTCCCCACCGAGCCGCTCAGTGGTCCCAGTCTATCCCACCAATAGATGACCTAGTACTAAGTAAACTATGCGATAGAGTCAGCCATCGCTGAACTCCCACATATGTTAAGGACTTGCAAGTCTCCCTCCAGTTCAGACAGCTCCTAGAGCTGCAAACCCGAAGGTACCCTGCTGTGTCCCATTCCCCCTACCCGTGTTTCTCCCACAGGGAACAAAAAGTAACCAAATTCTCACTTGTGAGAGGTGGGCTGTAGGAGGTGAGGATCCATTTCACAGGCACCAGGCTCCAGTGGCTGCTGCGCTCTGGGTGGCACCAGGAAATCAACGAGCACGACACTGCCAAGGGGCAATGTGTGTGACATCTAGAGAGATGCCGTGCAATGCCACACACTAAATGTGATAGTTGACAGCTAAAAACAGTAGAATGTGTGCCCAGAGATGGGAATTACTAATGCCTGTACCAAAGGTCACAGCCCAGGTGCCTGGAGAAATGCCTGGGGTGGGGGTGGGGTCTCTGGATTTCTAGAGCGGTGGGCATTGAAGCCCATATACACTGGTACCCTACAAATAGTTAGCACCTGTGAGGATGGACGCCGTCGCCAGGGCTAAGACTGGCGAATCAGGAAGAAAGAAGGAAGCCAAGGTCCCCGTGGATGCTGTGGGGCGGCCATCCCAATTCCGAACTCTGATTTCTTTCCCATGAGAGGAAAACAGACTACTCTCTCCTTAAAGCTGCTGGAAACTCCTTTCATGCTGTGTAGCAAAATTCTTAACTGATACAGAAAAGAATCTTAGAGGTCAACTGGCCCTTTTAGCAGCAGAACTCCCAACAGTCTTTTTTTTTTTTTTTAATTTATATATTTACTTGAGAGACAGAGTTACAGACAAAGAGAGGGAGAGACAGAGAGAGAGAGAGGTCTTCCATCCGCTGGTTCACTCCCCAAATGGCCACAATGACCGGAGCTGGGTGAATCTGGGGACAGGAGCCAGGAGCTTCTTCCGGGTCACTCACGTGGGTGCAGGGGCCCAAGCACTTGGGCCATTTTCCAATGCTTTTCCAGGCCCTTAGCTGGGAGGTAGATTCGAAGTGAAGCAGCCAGGACTGCAAATGACTGCAGTGGGCAGGACGGGGCCAGGTTGTAGCCAGGAACCCAGAACTCCATTCAATGAACTCTCAGTCTTACGCCTGTTGTCATAAAACCTTAGGTGCTCTGTTGATTGCAGCTGCGATTGGGCGCCCGTCAGCCTTCCTAAGCTGTCCCGGAAGCATGTCTGCAGATCGCAGAGGTTCCTGGAATATAGTGTGCAAACCACCTTAGCCTCTTCTTTTGAGCAAATAAAAGCCCCAAGAAATCAAATAGCTTGTCCAAGGTCACGCAGCTAGATTGTGCCAAGGCCAAAAGCAGATTGAGGTCTCGGAGCCCTGCCCACTGTTTGCTTTTAGTTTCTCTCTTTACAACCTTGATGGGGGAAGTTGGTGAGACAAAGCGAAAGTGCTAATGAAGAATCCAGGCTTGGACTCTGAGTTGTGGAAAGTAACAGAGCAAGAACAAGGGAGGAGAGAGAGAGAGAGAGAGAGAGAGAGAGAGAGAGAGAGAGAGAGAGAGAAAGCACAAGACTGCACTGCTGGGACCGTTCAGCAGTTACCCGGCCACCTGGCCAGAGTTCCCTGAGATGCTGAGAGGTCGGGGTCCCGGAACACTGCCTTGTAACTCCTGGTCTGGTTATCACTCACCTGGTGGTTACAACCCCATAGCAGTCAACCAATCCATCAGTCTACGGTCAGAGAATCCAGGTGTGCACAGCACTGCAGGCAATGCATAGAGACCAAGGGTTAGACCTGCCTAGCAGAGCCCGCTCTGGACATTTTGCCCAAATTGCACAACCACCTTGACTCCCCACCCCAATCACGGTAACTGGACTTCTTGCGGTCATTCCACGGGAGCCTGCATCCCGGGCCCCGTTTGATTGTCTCCAGGGGTATGGTGTGAGCAGAAGCCACAGTCTGCTCTTGTTATTAGGGGCTCAGCAGCAGCCGAACGCCTGGTGTCTGCCGGCCAGACTCGGTAACATGGATAATCCCAGCATGCCTCCCTTCTCTGTCAACCCCTTCTCTGTCTGGCCTCTGGTCAAGATGCAAGAGCTCGTAGCATCTTAGACTGTAATCTCCACAATATTCCGTGCGATCTTCTTCCTAAATCTTCCTTTCACAGTGGATTACCATGCAAAGCCATTTTTCCTGTGTTCTTATTTATTTAGGATCCCATTCTTTTGTATTCTCTACCATGTTTTGTAAAAAGCTCCTTTCCTTTCTTAACTACAACCTGGCTCTCCCATAGGGACCACCTTATTTGCTGTTTTAGGGAAGGATGCACACGGGACCCCCTATTTGCCACTTTAGTTCCTTATCCCACGCACCTGCAACCACGCGTTCTGGACACCTGGACCGTTTGACCACCGTGCTGCTGGGAGCCTTTGCTGTCAGCACCACACTGCCCACCCATTCCCCTTCTGTCCTTGAGGACCTTGTCTTCTGGTTCCCACTCTCCCTTCCCCATAAATCTCACCATCGTGATAGGGACCGTAAATAGTTTTGTAGATAATCTGTTCAACAGCTCAGCCTGCAGGCACCTTCTGCCCTCGCTGCCAGCCATGTTCCCCAGGCAGTTCCAGCAGCCTTCCTCAGACACACCCCAGAGCTCCAGACCTACCCTTCCTTCCCCTCGCCCTCCCCGTGCCCCGCCCCTCCCTCCCACAAGCACTGCCAGAAGGGCTCCGCCAGGCACTGAGATCTGCCGCAGCTCTCCAGTAGGGGGAGACAAACACGCACAGTAAGAGGCGTGGCCCGGTGAGCGCGGGCTCCCTGGCTCCCTCCCTCACTTCCGGAGGCCCCAGTCCTAATGTCCTCCCTTGACCTCTCTATCTTCTTCACTTCCTGGTGATCTCATCCAGCCTTAAGGTTGTAAACACCACCTTTATACTGAAGCCTCCCAAATTTGCATTCCAAGCCTGGATGTCTTTCCTAAATTCCAACTGACAGTGCAGCATCACCACCTGACAAGGCGCAAAGCAAGTCCCTCGCTCCCAGTCTTCCCTCTGCCGTCTCCATCCCTCCAGACTGTTCCTCCTCCAGGCTGCATCTCCCAGGGAACCGGCAACTCAAGCTTCCAGCCGGCTCAGGAGGAAACCCTAGAGCCCTCACCCTGCCTCTTCTTCTCTTATAGCCACTTTCAATAAATCACTTTAGCTCCACCTCCAAAACAGATCGGAATCTGACCGCAGCTTTTCCTGGATTTCCCACCGCCACGCTCTCCACGCCGCCCTCCTCTCTCGCGTGGGCTTGGGCAGCACCTCCTCGCTGGTCTCCTGGCCTCTGCGGTCACCCTTCCACAGTCTGTTCCCAGCTCGGCACTCAGCTCCTGAGCCGTCTCTGGTCGCTCCTCGCTGTGACTGCTCAGCGCCTTCCCATCATGCTCAGAGAAAGCCAGAGTGCCCCACTGGCCGAGGGGTCCTGTTTACCCCGGCCTGACCTGGCTGACTCAGCTCCTGTCCGTCCCTTCTCCTGCACGCCCCCACCTGGCTGCTGCTTCTCTGGGACCAAGCACACCCCTACCTCCAACCTTGGCCCTTGCTCTTCTGTCCAGCAAGGGTGACGTTCTTCAAGCTTGCCTAAGCGCTGAATGCGAATGAAATACCTGGCCCTATGGCTCTGCTTACCACGTGCTGTTATCCCACAGAAGCGTATGTTGGTGTGGCTTCCACTGAGTGTCCGAGACTGTTCACTTGATTTGCTGCCGTGTGTCAGGGCCGTGGACAGTAGGCACTCACTCAGGCCACGCTTTTGAATGGCAAACTCCACAGGGCTTGACGGAGGCCCTGTGAGATATAGCGAGGTGTGGCGGTAATCTGTTTTAGAGTTCTGGTCTTCAAACTTCCCCGACCTGCGGAGTCCTTCTTTCGAGTGGAACAAGAGTTGAAAGGACTCGGGCTAGCTGGGGGTTTTGCAGGCCCAGCCATTGGTCTCTTCTCCCTCCCTCCCGCATGCCTCGCTGACCCTGTAAGGGTCTGGGGAGCACAGTTGGAAAGCCCGGGAGCTAGAAGATAATGTTGATGCATGATAGTGTTATCACGCACAGTGGCTTAGATAATGTATGTAATGCACAATGGTTTGGATACTGTTACTCTATAGTGATAATGCTGTAATGTACAGTGCTTGAGTTGATGTTTTGTCCTTGGATGGTGATTTTGGACACATGTATGGGCTTTTCTAAGATGCTGTTTAATCAGATACCTTTGCCTCCAAAAAAGCTCACCCTCCTTCTGATAAAACATGACTTGCTTTGTAGCAATGATTGGTTTTAGGGGGTAGTTTTCTGGAACATTGCGTGGTGAAAGCAAGGACTTGTTTGGCAATGCACCACTGAGCCAGAACCAAGAAGTGTTTACCCTAGACTTTATGGTGGTAGCTGACGAGTGGGAAACCAAGGCAAACACTGGTGAATGGGTGTCTTGTGCCCATCTCCTGTGGCTGCTAGCGACTCCCTGAAGAACCAGACACAGGAACTGAGGTTTCAAGGGCCAGGCAGACAGAAAACACTGCACAGATAATCACATCCCTTATTTTAGAGAGCATTGCATACTGTAAAGAAAACAAGTGAAGACTCTGTCATAGAGTGGGAATTTGTCAAATAATCTCAGACTCATTCTCTGCCCAATTATCAGAGAACGAACCAAGTTAATTTCCACTTCTCAAGGCTGAACAGTAAAATTCAGTGTTTATAATGTTTGTCCAGAGGAGCTGAAATATTGAACTGTATGCCTTGCCCTCATTTTCAAGAGGGAAAGGGGTGTGGGGCCAGCGCTGTGGCGCAGTGGGTTAAAGCTGGCCCGAAGTGCTGGCAGCTCTTGTGGGCACTGGTTCAAGTCCCAGCTGCTCCACTTCTGATCCAGTTCTCTGCTATGGCCTGGGAAAGCGGTAGAAGATGGCCCAAGTCCTTGGGCCCCTGCACCTGTGTGGGAGACCCGGAAGAAGCTCCTGGCTCCTGGCTTCGGATCAGCTCAGCTCTGTCCATTGTGGTCATTTGGGGAGTGAACTAGCAGATGGAAGACCTCTCTCTTTCCCTCTCTCTCTCTGGTTCTACCTTTCTCTGTAACTCTATCTTTCAAATAAATAAAATAAATCTTTAAAAAAAAAGAGGGAAAGGAGTGAAAATGGGAGGAAGAGAAGAAAGAACAAGGAGAGAAGGATATAACCAGGTTGTAGAAAATTTCTTACAAGGCAGAGAAAATCCAATTAATCAAAGCAGGCCACTCCCAGCCCGTCACGGACTCATTGCACTGATTAAAGGTGCATCTCACTGCTTTGATGATTTAGATTGAAAATACACCTTCTACTTAGTTATTTTCCCTGATGTAAAAAGATACTTTGTCTCTCTCCCTTTAAAATCCTTTTATTTTAAAGCAGAAATAGATATTGACATGTAGCCAGGCTCCTGGCACTCAGTCCAGGTCTCCCATCTGTTTGGCGGGGACCCAGGTGCTTGAGCCATCATCTGCTGCCTCTCAGGGTGAACATTAGCAGGAAGCTGGAATTGGGAGCGGAGCCAGGACTCAAACTCAGGCACTCTGACATGGGACGCAAACATCCCACCTGGCACGTATATCCCACTCCAGAACTACTCCCTTTTGGGTTTACAAGTGACATCCTTATCACCTGTGGTCTTTATATGACTGGAAAGAAACTTGCAGAAAACACACATTTGTAAAAAATTAAAGTATATTTCAGATCAAAGTGATGCAATTTCATTCAAGTCAATTCAGGTGATTACTGACTTTGAAAAGGACCCAGGTACATCTTGTACTATTCCAATTTGCTTTGATTTTTTTCTGAATTGTCCACCAAGAGGCAAATGAACCCTTCCAACTGGATCCAATTATGCTGGATATGACCTGGGAAGTCTCCACAAGAATTAGATGCTTTTCCTCTCCCATCCATAAACACAGCTTTTAAAGCCAGGGAGAGAGGACATAAGGCAGAACCTGGGGCAGAACTGAGACTTTTTCCCCAAAGCAACTTCCCTTCATATGGGAGATCACAGAGAAAAACCAAGTGCTCCGCCAGAATTGGGTGTCACGGGATGTTCCTGGTCGTGGTGGCACCTGCTCAAGCAGACATAAGTCTGAGCAGTGTAACCACTAAGATCTGCTTTCAGCTTTTTAAGAAAGAATTATTTATTTATTATCTGAAAGGCAGAAAGAGAGAGAGAGAGAGAGAGAGAATCCTCATCATCTCCTAGTTCACTCCCCAAATGTTCACAACAGTTGGGGCGGCACCAGGCTGAATCCAGGAGCCCAGGATTCAATCCAAGTCTCCCACATGGGTGGCAGGGACCCAAGTGCTTGAGTCACCAACTGCTGCCTGCTAGGCTGTGAGTTAGTATGAAGCTGGAATCAAAACTGGAACCAGGACTTGCACTCGGACACTCCCATGTGGGATACAGGCAGCCCAAGGAGAGACCTAATCCCTGCGCCAAACATCTGCCACACATCTGTGGTTTTCAAATGCAGTTGTGGTAGAGATGCTTGAAAGACGGTTGGAGCTGGCTGGCTCGCCCTCTCCCCTCACCACACACACAGAATAACTGTTAACTTCTGAGTGCACCCTGAGTGCTACCTTGTTATACTCATTTGCTCACATAACAATTCTCTAAGGTATGTACCACTGCTATGCCCATTTCATAGATGCAGAAATTAAAACATGGCTGGATACTTGAACAATTGCACACACCAGCTATGAGCTTGCATTCCAACCAAGGCAACCAACTCCGGAAGCTGTGCTCATTAAAAATTACACTCTTATCAACATTCCGCTTTGATCTCATTGTACATTGGCATGAAGAGCAAATTTGGTTAAAAGAGAAAAATTACATCACAGTTAAAACACACCATGCCCGCCCCAAACCAGGGTTGAAGACCTCCCACTTAGAGCAACCAAAACATCTCTACTTAGTGCAGAAGGTACCCAGTGTCTTGTGAGGAGTAATCTGTAATCTCCACAGTGAGGCTGAGCCTTCGTGCTGGACAAGGGGCTTAGAGCCTTCCCACTGAGCCCACCCACTGGGATAATGAGAACAAGCAGGAGCCAATGGCATCGTCAATAACAACCCCTATCATTTGTTGAGTGCTGGCTGGGTGCTAGGTGTTAAAGTACATGCCAAGTGCCTTATGTAGATTATCTCAAGCATTGTGAAGTTGGTGCTCTTGCTATTCTGAATGCTGAAATGAAGAAACTCAGGTTTAAGCCCTGTGTCTTGCCCAAGGTCATTGAGGACTCTTAAATGACAGATTTGAAACTTCATCTACCTAGTTGCAGAATCTGCGTCCTTAACCATTAAACTCAGCACCATCCAACATCAAACCAAGCAAAACAACGTGAGCAACTGAGATCAGATTCACTGAGTCAGAAGCAGTAGGATCCGCGTCTGCTAAGAGGGTGGAGTAACACAACAGTTCAGAACGCAGTCACAGATCCGTGGGTTCACTCTATTTTCAACTAATAGTTCTCGCATGCTTGCTGTTTGTTCAGCTAAGCTAGTTCCGTTCAGGAGCTCTTTAACTTGCTCTGCTAACATTGACTGAATGCTTCATCCTGGGGATATAAAGACAAGCAAGTTCCTGTCCCCAGAAGCTCCAACCCAGCAGAGGAGTTGTGTGGACAATCACTA